ACTTTGTGAGTTATATAGATCTCTAATCATTATGCTACACAACTGAAACTAATATATTATTGTATGCCAACAATAACTCATCGAATGATAAAATGTAAATATGAGCAACTAATTATCTACTATATTTCAATAAAGCCAGAAAAAAATCCCAATGGCATTTTTTAAAGAAATAGAAAAAAAAAAATCATCAGATTTAGGTGGAAGCACACAAGACCTCAAATAGCCAAAGAGATCCTGAGAGAAAAAAACAAGACTGGAAATATCATTCTGCCTGACTTCAAATTATACTACAAAACAACAATTATCAAAACAGTATGGTATTGGCAGAAAATCAGACACACAGACCAATGGAAAAGAACTGAGAGTTCAGAAATAAACCCCCATATCCATATATATGGGCAAATCATTTTCAACAAAGGAGCCAAAACCATACAATGGAAAAAGGAAAGCCTCTTCAATAAATGGTGCTGGGAAAACTGGAAAGCCACCTGCAAAAGAATGAAACTAGACTGCTGTCTATCACCACACACCAAAATTAACTCAAAATGATTAAGGACCTGAATATAAGACCTGAAACAAAAAAGGGCATAGAAGAAAACATAGATACTAATCTTATAGATTTTCAATTTCGAGAGAATTTTATGAATTTGACCTCACAGGCAAGGGAAATAAAAGCAAAAATAAATGAATGAGACTTTATCAAACTAAAAAGCTTCTGCACAGCAAAAGAAACCATAAACGAGGCAAAGAGGGAACTCTCTAAATGGGAGAATATATTTGCAAACAATGCCTCTGATAAGGGCTTCACATCCAAAATATATAAAGAACTCATACAACTCAACAATAAAAAGACAAACAATCCAATTAAAATATGGGCAGAGGACTTGAACAGACATTTCTCCCAAGAAGACATATAAGTGGCCAATAGACATGTGAAAAGATGCTCAACTTCACTAGCTATTAGGGAAATGCAAATGCAAATCAAAACTACAATGAGATATCATCTCGCACCTGGTAGAACGGCTATTATCAACATGATAAGTAATAACAAGTGTTGTAGAGGTTGTGGGCAAAAAGGAACCCTAACACGGCTTGTGGGAATGCAAATTGGTACAACCACTATGGAAAACGGTATGGAGGTTCTTTGAAAAAACTAAGAATTGAATTACCACATGATCTGGCAATCCTTCTTCTGGGTATTTACCAAAAAAAACCTGAAAACATTTAGCCTCAAAGATATATGCACCCCAATGTTCATAGTGGCATTATTCACGGTGGCCATGACATGGAAGTAATTGAAGTGTCCTATGATAGATGACCGGATAAAGAAGCTGTGGTATATATATATACAATGGAATATTACCCAGCCATTAGAAAAGATGAAATACTGCCATTTGTGACAGTATTTGGATCTTAAGATAATCATGCTAAGCGAAATGTTAGGCAGAAAAAGGTGAAACCATATGATTTCATTCATATGTGGGATATAAAAACTGAAATAAACAAACAGACATGACCAACTGAGACTCATGGACATGGACTGTGGATTAGTGATCACCAGAAGGAAGTGGGGGAGGAGGGAGGTAGATAGCAGTAAAAGGGGTCAAATATTTGGTGACAGAAAGAAATCTAACTTTGAGAAGTGAACACATAATGCAATACATACACCACATACTGTTGAATTGTACACTTGAAATTTATTTGATTTTATTAATCAATGTCATCCCAATAATTTTTAATAAAAAGAAAGCAGGAGATTACTCTCAGGGGGGACAATTCTATGATTATTACAATAAATCTCATCTACAGGGAAGGCAGACTCAAGTAATATAAAGCTGTAATTTGTAAAGCAGCAGTCTTACTTGGGGGAGGGGAGTGCTTGATATTTTGTGGGTGGCACCTTGTCTGAATTGGGTAGAGGATCTTGTCCTTTCAGAGGAACCCAAACCAACACTGCCAGCACCATGATTTTGTACTTCCAGCCTCCAGAACTGTGAGAAAATAAATTTGTTACTTAAGCCACCCAGTCTGTGGTATTTTGTTATGGCAGCCCTGCAAACAAATACAGACTTGTAACAAGTAAAGAGATTGAAGTACTAACCAAAACACTTCCCATGAATAAAAGCCCAGGCCCAGGTAGTTTCACTGATGAAGTCTGCTAAACATTTAAAGAAGAATTAATACCAATTCTTCACAAACTCTTCCAAAAAAAAATAGAAGATGAGAGAACACTTCTTAACTCATTCTATGAGGCCACTATTACCTTGATACCAAAACCAAAGACATCACAAGAAAACTATGGTCCAATATCTCCTACAAAAAAAATCGCCAACAAAATATTAGCAAATTAAATCCAGAAACATATAAGAAAGGGTTATACATCATGACCAAGTGCGGTTTGTCCCAGGAATGCAAGTTTGGTTTAATATTCAAAAATCGATTAATGTAATACACCATATCAATAGACTAAAATACATCTTTATCGATCATCTCAATAGATACAAAAAGGGCATTTGACAGAATTCAACACCTCTTTGTGATAAAAGCACTTTAACTGGAACTAGAGAGGTATTTCCTCAACCTCATAAGACCACCTACGAAAAAACTGCAGGTAACACATACTTAATGGTGAAAGACTGAAAGCTTTCCCTCTATTGTCAGGATCAAAACAAGGATGCCCAGTCTCACCACTTCTATACCACATTATACTGGAATAACCAGGGCAATTAGGCAAGAAAAATAAAGGACATCCAGATTAAACAGGAAGAAGTAAAATTGTATTTGCAGATGACATAATCCTATCTCCACATCCAGGCTCTTCATCTCATTAGAACTGAACCGAATGGGTGACAATCTTCTTTCTTGAAAGAAAGGAGTTCTCTCCCTATTTTCAAATCCTCCCTACTGGCACTATCACACAGCCCAGCCCCCTTTCAGAGATGAGAACCCTGCTTGCTCTTCCCCCTGGACAGTGAGGGCCCCTCAGAGGGGCTCTATTGTCTCACCTGCTTGTATTCTTACTGCTGGCTCCCATGCAGAGTTTAAAAACAATGGAGAGCAGCCCTTAGTGTGCAGCTGCTATCAGTGTCCCCATCAACTCTCACCCCCTTGCCGGCAACATGCACACACAATTTGTAGAGCCCGAGCTCTTATTTGGCAGCAAAGCCCACCCCACTGGGAGCTGAATTGATAAGCATCTTTATTGGCTGTCTTCTTTCCTGCTCACTCCCTACTGCTCCCTCCCCCCCACCCCAACTGGTGTGTCTTGACGTGGCCTCTCAGGTAAACTACTTGCACTGTCTCATGATTGGTTTCTGGGGAACCTAAAACTGACATAGTATGTCGTGGAATCAACTTAGAGGACCTTGACCAGAAAATTAATAAAATTGAAATAGAATAGAATAGGAATATTGCAGTGCGCGCTGCATTTCTTTCGATTTGAGACTGTATACTAGGTAACATAAACTATCTCTTACTGTGAAACAAAGGCAAGAATATTTAGGAAAACTCTGCTCTGAAGACTTTTCATTACTTTTAAACAATTATTATGTCGACATGTGACCTTTCAAAAAAAAGTGCCACTTTTCTAAAATCTATTAGAGAGGCCAAAAAGCAATGCCAGGTTTTCTGAATAGGAGAGTGTTTGTGTTTTTTTATTCCCTCAATATTGCTATTATTTAATTTTCAAAAAAGTTTACTATAATCCTAGGAAGACTCTGGTGAGAGCGGCATCTATATATTGCTGATGACATTGCAAACCACACACTTTAAGTTAGCTCAAAATCTTATATTTACGCCAAGAAAAAAAGAACTAAAATGTGACACACAGAACCATGCACATTGCAGTGTTTTATGTTCACTAAAAATGGAAACGACTTAAGTGTCTGAATAGGAGGAGTCTGAAGGACAAATATTCTTGGAAAAGCTTTGAAGTTGAGTTTGTAGGGTTCTTTACAGAAAGAATAGGAGGAATTGTCAGTCGTTTACAACAAAACCCTCACAGGTTTGGTGAAAACTGGGGGTGCTGTAGGTCCTCAGTGGCACCCCTAGATCAGTTCTCCGTAGAGGTTTGATGGAGGCCTAACACAATTTAATATGAACTTCAGACAACGACACAGCTCTCACGAGGATTCCAGTACTCACACTCAAAATTTGACAGCCTAAGAAAGCAGAAGGGGAGGAGGCAGTTATGAGGTTCCAAAGAGAGTAGTGGCTGGCAACGATTTGTCCTTTTAGCCTGGCACCCGAGACCACACGGGGCCTGTGGCCAGCAAGAACACAAAATGCCCACGTGGGGTTTTTAAAACGAATTGTTTTTAAAAGAGCTTCCTAAACCGCAGAGTAATCAGTACTCCGGGCTCTTGGGCCCAAGGGGAAGTTAATAGATTAAAAACTGGGTCTGTTCAAAGTCGTTGTTAAGAAGTAGAAATATCTAGACTGGGAAAGACGGGGATCCAGAGGGTCAGGGAGCCGCTCTCACTGTGGGAGACCTACAAGGGACTGGGGCGCACCCCGCAGGGCAGGAGCAGGGGTCTGAGCGGGACCCAGCCGGGTGCGCTCGGAGGCCAAAGCCCAGCGCTGGCGGCGTGGGCCC